CCCCGTTGTTGTCCAGCTTCACCGACCGCACGAATATCGGCTGCCGGGGACCAAGCAGGCACCGCTCACCTCACCGCTGGGCGCCGCAGCCCGGCTCTGCCCGCCAGCAGCACCGACCTGCCCTGCTCTCCCTGAGGCGGCTCCATTCCAGCCCGGGCCCCACGGAGATGCTCTTTCGGGGGCAGGAGGTGAGCAACCAGGGCTCAGCGAGGGAGAGCCGCTTCCCTCGGGGTTCAGCAAGACCAGGCTTCGGCAGCCAGGTGTGCACCGAGCCCCGGGGAGCCCCTCTCCTGCCCCAACCCCGTCCCCTCCTCACCTCGTAGGGCTGAGCCTCCAGGTCAACCAGGTATTCATCCACGTCCAGCATCGTCCTGTAATAGTTCAGGTACTTCAAGGTCATCTCATGCTTGGGGTTCTTCTGCAGGAAGGTGTGGGCAGCGGACACCGCTTTCTCGATCCTATTTGACTGGGGAGGGAGGAAGAGGCGGTGCAGCAGGCTGCCGCGGGGCAGCTGGGGCCGATGCTGCGGCTGCGGGGGGCTCAGCACCCAGCCGGACCCCGGGGCTGCAGGCCAGAAGGCTGGTCCTTGGGAACCTGTCCCGAGCCCAATCACCCACTGACAGCGATGGATGGACAGGATCCGGGACCACGGACAACGCAGATAAACCCAGACGATGCAGGGCAGCCGCCTGTGCCCAGCTGCACCAACCTCCCCCTCCATGCCACGGTGGGAGCGGGGATGGCTCAGCCCCTCGCAGACCCCCACATCCAGCCAGGAGTGATCCATGTGGCATGGGCTTGAGCCGCATGGCCGCTCTCCTCGGGCACCGACACCAGCCCGGGCGAGCTGCCCCCGCTCCCCTGCTGCTTTATGAGCTCTCGGGTTGCAACTTGAGGGGAGCGAGATTGGGGAGGATGAACGAACTGTCCATGGAAAGGGTTTTGGCCAGAGGAAGCAAGAGGAAAAGGCATTAAAGATCTGGGCCAGGCTGTCCCTCGCCACTGCCAGGTGAGCGGGGCAGCAGCGCTAAGCACTAAAGCAGCATCCTCACCGGCAGCCGGCCAGCGGCACAGCTCGGGACCCCGACCAGCACCGGTGCCTGGGGAGGGGAGGGTCCCCTGCCAGAGCCACTCTGGCCAAAGGAGGGTCACCCCGGGGCGATCTCTTACAAAACCTCCTTCCACGTCTGCACCGTGAGCCCGAGCAAGTGCATCTCCCTGACGGAGCATCCAGACACGTGTTCTGCAGCAGTCGCGGTGGCACCGGACCCACCAGCTCAGGCCCCTCGGCCGGGGCAGCCCCAGCGTCCCCCTCCCCAGGCAACGCTCTGCCCGGCCAGGGGCACCTCGGGGGACCAGGGCAACACAAGGTGGGGTGGGGGGGACACAACCACAGGGGTCCGTTGTCCCAGGCGCACCCCTCACCTCCTGCCTGACACGTCCCAGATGATGCTGACGTGCCACGGCGCAGGGGCAGGATGGAGGA